TACCGTTTGGTGCTATGTGGCACAAACACCATCGATTATACAATATTCAATATGCATCCTACTGAAGTACTTGGGCAGTTAAACGTGTTGCCTTGGTCATGTAAATTTAAGAAAATATATTTTTATGAATTTCTGATACTGGATATCGTATTATATGGTCTTACACATTGTTTGGTTTCATAAATATTATAATTGGGAAGAGATAACAATTACTACACTATACTGGTATTCAAATTTTGTGAAAACCGCATTCGATGCGGTACAGCAGTTTTTGCATGCGCGGAACAGATGGACAAAATTTCTAAAAAATATTGTATTAGCTTTTATTTTTTTTAAAAAGACCCCTCATAGATTTTTTTCTTAAATATCTTCCATGTCTACATTGTCTAGTTACTATTTTATTATATTAGTAAGAAATATTAAAATAAATAAATAAATAAAATAAAATAAAATTATACAATTCGCCGTGTGGTCTCAGCATATACTTCTCACCTTTCTTTCTCCCCTAGATCTCCTCGTTACCGTGGGTGTCGTAAGAGGTGACTAAAGGAATTCGATGGTCAAGGGATGATTAGGGATTACCAAACCCTAACTGCGCTTGCTGTCCATTTGGATTAGTCCCCATTGCTATCATTATACCTTATCAGTTCGACCTTCACGCGGTTCCCCCTAGGAACCATCGTGACTGATTTATCGTTGAATTTGTCACAATGGGCAACTGACCTGTCTTTTCATCCTCACCGATCATCCCTCACTAGCGCAAGCGGGGTTACCGTTACATTATCCTCCACTAAGAAGAACCCGCCGGCCAAGCTTGACAACTATGACAACCCCCCCCCCCAATAGGGGGAGGCCTATGGTCAGTAGTGGACAGTTAAAATTAATATAACACTCTTCTGATCATACCTAAACTATTACGGTTTACGGTTTAAGACATTTATTTTTCTAAAGATTTATACATAAATGACTTAAATGAGAAATTTAAAAATTAATTTAAAATTTAATTTATTAAACATTAACTAAAAATAAAACATAATGTGCAACTACCTTCATTTTATAAAAAATATACAACACAATGCGACTCATAACAATAGAATAGAGGAATAACACCTGAGTCCTCAGGAATGGTAACGCATTGGGAATATTATGGGCGAAACAGTATACTCTGTTATGACCATGGTACTGCTCATGTCTATAGACAACGGTTACCACTTTCTATCAGGTGGGCCGTTAGCTTGTTTGTTATTCTAAGTTGTATAAAAAAAAATCATAACAACAAATTGTTTATAGAGGCTTGCTACACCAAAAGTGTTAATTTTCCGAAAAATAATGAGATTTCAATTTAACATATCAATCAAGATATATAACACAGATTGGTTACTTAAATAATCTACTTTCGTAATGTTTTCTCAGATAAGAGGATTAGCAGGTTATGTAAACATTGCATCTGATGCATGACTCCAAGAATACATATTAATAAAAAAATGGAACAAATTCGTGAGATTATATTTATTTATTTAAATAACTTAATTAACCAAAAGAAACTATGGTAAAAAAAGGCAGACTTAATGCTAGTAGCGTTCTCTATCAGTCAACCTTTAAGATGTCCATAGGGTTGCCAACTTTTTTTACAAGAAGTATATTTAGGTCTGAGAAGAATATTAAACAGTATTTTAGAAAAATTAAAAATGTTTTATTTATTAAATGTTTTAAATACATAATTTTTAGAGTTTCTCGCACAACTTATTAATTTACAGTCTTTTTTAAAAACTTCATATACCTCACCACAATTTTCACTAAAATTAAAATAAATGAGGAGGTAATTTTTTATAAAATAATTTGCCATAAGCGCCCTCTGACTAAATAAAAAAAAATTGTGTGAGCGTCTTAGTCTAACTATTATAGTGTTTAGCATTTTGATACTGAAAACAGTATTTTGTATACTTTATTTTTGTTCAACAGTAAAAAGTATAATGTAGTGATAAACAGTATAATACTGTTTTAACAGTATAGTTGGCAACCCTAGATGTACAGTGAATCACGAACGCGGTACTTCATTATTGGGATAAGTGAAGAAAAAAACAACTAATAATGTATGTATATACCTATACACAATATATAGTTCATACATATTTGGTATTATAGATGGTGTACGTAGTAAGGTAAAATTATATAGATAGAGTATCTCCATACAAATGCTACGAGAAAAGCTGGCCAACTTTTACATACAATTTTACGTGATAAATAATTATGAGTTATTTCTTTATAACTTCTTTATTTATTTTGTCTTTAAATTCGGCACCTTTTTAATCATTCAATAAATCTTTTCTTTCTTTCTTACATAATCGAAGAAATATTATTAAAAAAATACAATCTAGTTAGTCTACTTATTAGCCCAGTCAGAACAAAGTCACGGGCAAAAGCTAGTAATGCATAAAAACAATCTACTTCAATCCTAATCAATAATGTATGAGATGTTAAAAAAACATACACGAAAAATGCAGACGAATTGAGAACTTCCTCCTATAAGAAGATGGTCAAAAATCGCCAGCAATGATTCCCGCGAACGCTTTTTGGCCAAAAGTGCGTACGTGATCATGAACACGAAACGGGGGTTCGTGCAGTCTGTATATACCAAAATACCAGTGTTGTTTATTGATTTTTTTATTTCTCACAAATTAGCACTTTTTTTTCTCCAAATTGCTCTTGTTTTCTTTATATTTAGCCAAATTACACTTATGTTCGTTTCTTAAATACAAGCAAATTACGAAAATTAAATTACCCAAAACTTTCCTAACGTCTATTAATTTTTTTTTACTTTTTTTTTGTAATTTTGTTTCCTAGACTCAAGAGTGAGGATTTATTCAAATACAAGTTTACACACGCGACTCCGTATGCATAATCGTGATAAATAGATTGATCAGGATAAAATGTAGCCTATATCCTTAGATTATATAGATAGAATGTCTCCATACAAATGCTTCGTGAAAAGCGGGCCAACTTTTTCATACAATTTTGTGTGATAAATAGTTATGAGTGTTTCCTTTGTAACTTATATATTTAGTTTGTTTTATAATTTACCAGAGGGAGACTTTGTACAAAAGTCGTTTGTACAAAGTCTCCCTCCCCTTGTCCCCTTGTTTGGGCACCTCTGTCGCATTCGTGTTTCAACCATAAAGCAATTTGCTTGGCTGTATTTCGGTTTGAAGGGTGGAATATGGCGTGAATTTACAGGGTACAGAGGAATAACACCTGAGTCCTCAGGAATGGCAACGCATGGGGGGTATCATGAGCGAAACAGTTATATCTATGGTACTGCTCATGTCTACAGGCGACGGTTACCACCTTCCATCAGGTGGGCCGTCAGTTCGTTTGCTATTCTAAGTTATATAAAAAAAATTATACATTTTTAATGCATAAAAACTCGTTTAATTTTATAAATAATTAAATATAGATAATCCAAAGTACTTTATGTTCGTAAGTACATAGAACACTAATAAAAAAACGAGTCAGCTAATTTCACAAATTAGCTGACAAAAAGTTGTCCCGTTTTTGAGGTCCGATGCTCTATATAATCTAAGCCGTAAAGATTGGTTAAATGTTAAAACGCCAAGAGGTTCCCTCCCTTCCACATTTACATGTAATATTAATAAAGATTTATTACATAAAATAATTAAAATAAAAATCACATAATACATTAAAAGTTAATAAAACATGTATTAAAATAATTTAAACATTAACGCACGATTCAACGGCTAACGTAAAGTGCTTACTTTAATAAATACACGTTCCTATCCAAAACGTTGAACCTACGAACGCATTACGAAAGCGAGACACGAACACTGCAGTAGTACAGGAATCTGTTCCCAGAGGCTCCGATCACTCTGTATTCTAAGCTTGAAGGTTTGGTCTACTGAATGTCAATGGGTATGGCAATTTTGTTGCAGTATATTTAAAATTATTTATCAATAACTTCATATCAGCCGTTAACTGCCCACTGCTGAACATAACCCTCCCTCATAGGAGGGAGGGGGGGGGGGGGATTACTAAATAATATAAGGGGTTTTTTATTGAAATTGGTAACCCCGTCAGCAATATTACTTTGCGCAGAATTCCACAGAAGGACAAAATCAGGTCAGTTTACCCGAATTGACGTATTCACTAAGAATTTTAGCAAGAGAGTTTGCAGGTTATCAGCATGAAATTCGACCAAAGAGCGTATGTTGCTAGCAATTGGGCTACTACTCACCATTATTAATAGGTATATCATATCAGCCGTTTACTGTTGAACAAAGGCCTTCCCTATTGGTGATTTTGCCAGTAGTTGCCACGTTTGGCAAAGGGTTGGCGACAGCAGTTAGGCTTTGGTGATATTTTAAGAGGGACACTACTGCCCATCCCGCGCCCTCCTTAGTGGCTTCTTACGACACCCACAGGAAAGGAAGGGATGGCCTATTCTATGCCGGGATCTCAATTGACAATTTATATACAAGGTAAAATTGTATATGTGATGTCTAATGGTGGAATAAATACATAAATTTATAAATACATAAATATAAATACATTAAATATATATCATAATCATCATATCATATCTATCACGCCTGTCTCCCGTTAGTGTAGGCAGAAAGGCAGAAAACATTAAAACTCCAAACCCTTCGATTCAAACAAACCTCTTAACACATTAAATACTTGAGATAAAAGTGACTTTTAATAAAAACTAAATATTGACTCTGTAAAAAAATGGGCTAATTTGCATTTAAATATCGTTTCTAACGACGTAAAAAGTAGGTTTATATTTGAAACGATCCAATCAATCAATCAATCATGAGTAACAATGTTTTTTAAATCGGAAAATTGCCAATTTCGTTTAGTTTTAGTTTTGAAAAAAATCAACCTAATTGAGAATCTTCTTTTTTTGAAATCAGTTGAAAACGTCACCTAAAATAGCACAAATAAAATACCGCCTTAGATATTAGATAATATTAAACAGTACATACGTTTTGATGTCGGATCAGGTACGCAATGAGCACTTTCTTCTTCTTCTTCTTGTCTTCCTGGTCACAGACACCAATGTTGAGTCCCATCACAATGGTCCGCAACAGCCCTCCCTCGAACGCGTCCCATAGGAACTTGGGTGTGTAGCACATTATCGCCTGTGAAATAAAAATATTGGCTCAAACAAGAGTTACCGATATAGCTCAAAGTATTAGGAATTGAGGAAGGGTAAGCAAGCTGAAGTGGCAATAGACAGGTCACATAGTTCGAAGAATCAACAACCGATGGGGAAGAAAGTAGATTGAGTGGCGACTCCGTACAGACAAACCTCCACGAGATTGACAACCCGTACATGACACCCCTAGTGTTGCAGGCGTCCATAAGCTATAGTGACCATTTGGGCTATATTGTTGAGCTTGTTTGTCACCTTTGTGGTAAAAAAAATGCAATGACGACCTTAAATGCATTGCAGAGAATCAGTGGATGCAGGTGGCTCGAGACCGTTCTTTACGGCATTCTATGGGGGAAGCCTATGTTTAGCAGTGGACAAATAACGGCTGACATGATGATGATGATTAGGAACTAAAGTGACAAAGGAACAAAATTGAAATGATGATAAATAAATGACGATAGTGAAATAAAAAAAGAAAAGGGAATTTTACTGGAGGTAGATTACTATATCTCTTTCTGTCGAGATATATACTCATAGTTTGTACCTATTCCCAACCTCCACATATATTAGTGGGTGAGTGGCTCACCTTTAATGTAGGCCAATTTTTGATGCAAGAGACATAACTCTTAATCGCCACCCATAAACATGATCAGCACCATGGACATTACAGAATACGAGTATACCACAGTATACTTATTAGAGTTATGTCTCTTGCTTCAAAAATTGGTCTACATTAAAGGTGAGCCACTCACCCACTAATATAAGTGGAAGTTGGGAATAGGTACGAATTATGAGTATATATCTCGACAGAAAGAGATATAGTAATCTACCTCCAGTAAATACCGTTTATGGGCGTCACAACGCAACGAAACCTCTTTCACGTTGCCTTGCCAGAGAACTATAGTAATAACTCCATACGCTGTAATTTCTCTGCCATATTCTACACCTCAAACTGAAATCCAGCCATGTACGCAAGGCTGCTTCAAGGCAGAAACACATAAGGGACAAGTTACCCATGCAGACGACCTTTGTACACAACTTCCTTCTGTTAAAGACGGATGGAGCTAGTAACCAATACAACCATTTAAGGTAAACCGTTAGTTATTCGCACATATCTCCAATCAGACATGACAGTGGGTTGTAAAAGTTGAATAATCGAATGACTAGTAAGCCGGTATTGAGGTTAACCGTAACTGTAGGTGACAGTTGATAATCGATTCTCCGGTGGTCAAGTATGGTGGGATCCACTTTGACAGAACAAATTACCGTAATTGCCCTATTTCTGGGTAATTTTATCAACACGATAAGGAAATCATTAAGAGTATACCATGTCCTAGTAGTTAATACACTATGCTATCCGGAAAGCTAGGACTCTGAACCCCAAAGACCATGACGAGATTCTAAATTGGTTAGAATCCTGTGATCTGGATATGCAGCATGAAGCCCCAAGAGATTTATCATCTGGATTCTATACGTAATTATACTCATCGAGAAAGAATAATTAGAAATGTCAGCAGTGGCCGCCCTAGACGGACGTATGTCGACCAAATAGAGAATGACCGGCGAGCGTGTATGGAAAGATTGATGAATGTAGAAGCAAAAGAGGTTTGTTTGTATCAAAACATTTAGCGTTCCAATATTTCTGCGTATCCTAATGGATGATAGGCGTGACAGATATATATGTACATGTACTCTTGCCTTTTAGTATAAGGAGCAAATAAGTGTGATTATATATAAATTATTGTAAAAGACTGGGAAATAAAACTCAACAGCGTATCTGAAAGTATTCTGCCTATGTTGCTATTCATGCATATAAGCAACGGTTACCGCTTTGCATAAAGTGGGCGATCAGCTTATTTGCCATTCATAAGACAAGAATTTAGCAAAATCGAGAAAACTTTCCAACATTCAATGACATCCATTTGCAGCCCTAAAATTTCCCGCATAACCATCCCATAAATGATTAATTACTACAACACCTCTATAAGACATGCGAATAGCAAAAATATGAGTAATGATAACAAATCCACATGTTTCGGCAGTGGGTCACGAGCGTGTTAAATAACCGGGCGATACGTCAGCTGTGATGTTACCGTTAGCGTCTGACCCCGATAGTGGGCAAACGTTGACACCCGCCGTGACTGAATGTTTAGCGCAAATACTCTATTTTGGTATAGACGTTTACTGGGCGTATTTAGCGTTGCAACTGTGACTGACGTACGGCGAGTTCAATCACCCGATACTTTTGAAAGACAAGCAAAACTATATCCATGATGTTGCTCGTAATTATAGGCAAAGTTTACCAATACATTACACATGATTAATTTTCTGCATATTTGTAATAGTGTAAACTGAACTATCTTCAATGGCTGTGGAGTACAGTCTACATGTATTATTTATAGCTTTTTATTATTATTTACCAATTTCGAAATTGACATGCATCGCTATTGTTTCTTTTTGGTTTTCCTTCACGACCCTAGTCCTCTAAATTTCTTTAACCAATACACATATACTTTTAAATTCCATTCCTAGTTTTCTTTGTCGCCCACAATGGCATTACAAAAACGAATTAGTGTAGCGTAGTAGTTTGAATAAAAATTATGTATGTTACACATTTTGGTAAGGTAGAGATGCTGAAGATTTATCAGACCTTATAAAATGCGGTAAACATTTACAGTACTACAGGCATCCAAAGCATATGGCCCAACTAGGCTTATGCCCAAAAAGTATTTGCAAATTTTGTCACAATGAGGAAGAAACTCCACAGCATTTTATTTGTGGCTGTAGCCCACTCACACATAAACGATATATCTTCTTTGGAAAACACTCTATATCCTGAGGAAATAAAAAAAAATAGCTACAAAAAAACATCTTAAAATTCCTATCATTGGTAGGAATTAGCAGCGAACTTTAAAAAAGAAGAACACAAAATATCATGGAAAAGTCGCAGTGTCAGACTTTTCTGCCTGAAAAAGCTTGTCTTTCAATAATAATTTAATAATACCACAGAGACATAACATGTAATAGTTGCATACACATAGCCATAGGTGCGTGAGCATGCACATGCATATGCATGCATGGGCGCGCACACGCACACACACAAAAACTCACACACTGCACTTACTTGATCTCGGCCCGTAAGTGCAGTATACGCAAAGTAGCGTATTTACCAGCTATAGCTGAGTTATAAAGTTTACATAAAAATAATAATAATAATGGGCATCACGAAATAAACTGTCACGTCCATGGCATCCCTCATAAGTTACGATTCTTAAGGAATAAAGCAAAGCCCTAAGGTGTGATTAAGGTGTAATATTTAAATCAAAACAAAATAGTATATTTATCACATGAATTATTAGATGACATTTATGTAATATTCCAGACTACGATATTCCAGGAAATACAATTAAGTATTTATCTGTCAAACCGCAATATTCTGATAGACAAACAAATGACGCAGAGAACACAAGAGAATTCAGTGGTTCTTTACGAAATGCAATATTTGCGGTCACCGATACAAATGCAGCATTAATTAAATTACAATTATCTACAATTAATATATATTACGCAATTTGTAGCGCTCATAATAATGTGGACGTTAAGTAGACGTGTTGATTACAACGCAATAACGCAAAAGAAGTTAAAAATTTTAAATGCGAAACCGTTTTTAAATTGAATCATTGCGGTTCAAATTCATTCATTACATAAAAAAATATTTCTTTCACAATTAAGTACTACTTCTATCGTGACAGAAGCGCCTGACGTTTTTTCTTCTATATACTCATTCTATTAAGTACATATTCGTTTAATCGAATGTGCCTTTTCAGATATGTTTATTATTGCATGCATCGAGACAGCAGATTTTTGGGAAGTTCTGAGGTTTCTCTGTTTGAAAATCTGACCTCAGGCCCCGTTGTAAATAATTGACTTTTTATTATTTATCTTTTACTCGACATTCTCTTTTAAACTACGAAGGAGGTAAACAAATATACAGCCCGTCTGATGGTAATTAGTACTGTAGTCTACGAATACTTGCATACAAATAATGGAATTGCTTCAATCGGGGGACTATTTGGTTTGGGGATGGAGTCTTTTTTTTATACAACTTAGACATGAGTAGTACCATGGACATAACAGAGTATACTGTTTCGCTCATGATACCCGCCCCCCCCCCATGCGTTGCCATTCCTGAGGACTCAGGTGTTATTCCTCTGTACCCTGTAAATTCACGTCATATTCCACCCTTCAAACCGAAACACAGCCATGCAAACACAACTGCTTTACGTTTGAAACACGAATGGGACAGAGGTAGCCAAGCAGTCGACTTTTGTACAAAGTCTCCCTCTGGTATACCTTTGACCAGCAATAGGACACTACAGGCTATAAATGTATCGGGCAAATAATTGAGCAGATTGCGTAAGGCTTTCAGATTTTCACGTAGAGTATATAAACGAATTAAGTTGCCACAAACATTCAGAGAAGGTTCTAGTCACTTTAAGGTCGACAATTGGTCAAGCATGCCCCATTCTATCAACAGAATCACTGAAAAACTTACCTGGAAGAAAAGCACGAAGCACACCCATTGATAGTATGTATAGTATTTCTTCTCCTGCGTGCTGTCATATTCGTTCGCGATTCCTGGATGAGCCACTTCTTTGCCCACCTGCAACCAAATAATATTATAATTTCACTAATTATTATTATTCTTAGAGCGAGGTTTTCCCAAGAACTTACAGCATGGGGTTCTTCAAAATGATCCTACACACATATCCTTGGTGACTAATTCTAAGATTTTTTTTTATACCACTGAGGTGGCAAACAAGCATACGGCCCACCTGATGGTAAGCGGTTATCGTAGCCTATGAACACCTGCAATACCAGAGGTATTACGCGCGCGTTGCCGACCCTGAAGCAACCTCTTTACCCCCCTTGTGCAAATTATATATTTATCATTAAAAAAGCAGTCAGCAAGTTATTATCTGGCTTAATATACAATCTCTGGTCAGGCCATTAGAAAGTCTGAATGTTAGAATATTAATAATTATAGTAAAAATAAATAAAAATGATGATTCAAAATTATTAAAAATAGCTTTTACTACTAAAAGCGGTTACAGAAGCTATTTTTTTTTAAATAAGCTATTATGAAGCATTTATAGAGTGATCTATCTGGATATTATGATCTAATATGATCTAATAAACGCTCTTCAGCAAATCAACATTGCGAAGTGGTCGCCAATTGGCAATTATGTTCATCAACAAAAATCTGAGCGAGCGGGACCCGTCCAAATGAATGAATCAGCCCATTTATACCCATTAACACGGCCCGCTCGATTCACAACGGATGTTGGTCCACTTTAAACAATAAAGTCGTCTCATTGACGGAGAAATCGCGGACAGTTGATTCTAATTACTTATGTACTCATAAATATGAATTTCAAGTCACTGTTCGTGTTTTTGCAAAGTTTACTTCTCGCTTGTCTTACGTCAGTTGACGCTTGCAGTTTTGCATGTTAAGTGCAAGTCACTTGATTGAATAATTGCATTTATGTGATACGTTTGTATTAGAACTGAGATTCGGGGATCCGATATAATATAACCCCAATGCAAACCCCAAACGAGCATGCGGCTCACCTGATGGTAAGTGACTACCGCCGCCTATGGTCACCCACAACACCTACGGCATTGCAGGTGTGCTGCCGGCCTTTTAAAAATATGCTCTTTTCTTGAAGGTTATGTTGTCGTATCGGTTCGGAAATATTGCTGCTGGAAGTTGATTCCAAAGAGTGGTTGTGTGTGGGAGAAAGTGCCTTGAAAAATGCACGGTGGAGGACCGCCACTTGTCCAGATGGTTAGGATGAAATTTTAGTTTATGGCGGGTTGTACGATGGTGAAAATCAGCAGCAGGTATCAATCCGAACAATTCTTCAGAGCACTCCCCATGATAATAAATAACAAGATGCCGAGAAAATTTTTTATTACAACTATTGAAAATAATAAGCTCAGTTCGATAAATAATAAAATGTCTGTATTTTGTGAAGTTTAGAAAAGAATAGAAAACTGTCAGATAAATTATTATATTGTTATATTTTTGTATTATATATTTTGATTATAGAACATTAATAAAAATGACTATAGAGTTTTTACAACAACAACGCCAAAGGAATTAGGCTATTAGTGACGTGAGAGCGTTAAAATAGCATATGGGTCTCCATAGTTTATCATACTAGATATAACGTAAAAGTCAAATAAGCCGACGTTACAAATGGGAAGTGGCAATCATCGCCCAATAAGGATATTATCAATGTCACAGCACGGACAACATAAGACTACCCATTGACACCATAAGTACACGTGGTTATTTCTGAAAATTACGACTAAGAAAGTTATGCTTCTGAGTCCGTCTCTGGTGGCATAGACAATATTTTTAAACGATTTAAATTAAGAATAAGTGTTCTATTTCACTATATTTTTTTTTATTTAGAATATTTTACGCGACATCTTCGCCAATTCTAAACGGATTTTAATTATTCTTTTAGCAATCAATGTAATTGAACCCAATAAGTTTCTTATAAATATAACGAATGCTACAACTGTTCTATAAAGTAATATTGTGTAATAATTGGCTAATTAAATTAATTTATACTAATAATTTTACCAGAGAGAAACCTTGTACAAAAGTCGTTTGCTTCAGCACCTCTGTCCCATTCGTATTTCAACCGTAAAGCAGTTATGTTTACATGGCAATTTACAGGGTACAGAGCAATAACACCTGAATCCTCAGGAATGGCAACGCATGGAGAGGGGGGGGGGGGGGGTATCATGGGCGAACAGTATACTATGTCCACTTTCCATCAGGTGGGCCGTCAGCTTGTTTGCCATTCTAAGTTGCATAAAAAAAATTTAATTGACTAATAAACAAAAAAAATATATAAAATTTTAATTGTATTGCACACTGTATACATTGTATTTTGTGAAAATGCGATAAAAAATACTTTTTTTTTTTCTATTTTTTACACAATTTAAAATATCAAACAAACTGACGACCTTTCTGATAATACTGCTAACTTATTGTTATGATACATCTATTTGTTACAATTGTAACTATAAATAATGACAATATAACAAAACAAAGAACTATAAAATGTTAGATACGTTGTTAGAACTCGACGAAGTCTAGATTCTAGTCCGAGGACAGCCCATCATATATCTATGAAGTAAAATAATACGTATTAAACTAATGACGCAAATGTATTAGCTAATAAACATTGCCCGTATGTGACAGTTGACCCAGAATTTTGCTTTAATAATTAAATACAATGTACAGTAAACTTGTTGATATTTTGAAATAGCACGTGAGTGAATCGTAAATCTTCCGATCTTTACCAACAAAGAAATCTTTTTTTTTTATACAACTTAGAATGGCAAACAAGCTGATGGTTCACCTGATGGAAAATGGTAACCGTCGCCTATAGACATGAGCAGTACCATGGACATAACAGAGTATACTGTTTCGCCCATGATACCCCCCATGAGTTGACATTCCTGAGGACTCAGGTGTTATTCCTCTGTACCCAGTAAATTCACGCCATATCCCACCCTTCAAATCAAAACACAGCCATGCAAATACAACTGCTTCACGGTTAAAACACGAATGGGACAGAGGTACCCAAGCAATCGACTTTTATACAACTACAACAAATGTAAAAAATGAATAAATTTTACAGTTAAGCAGTTACATTGGCATCACTACTTCTATCTGATGAATGGGATAAGGCAATGAAATTACCTGTAATTTCATAAGAATTATCTGTAATTTTGTAATATTGTAAGAGAACTAAGGAGTCATGCCTCTGTACCACAGTACAGAGGCATGACCCCTTAAGAGGCATCTTAGTCCTCAGGAATGGCACCACATGAGGGGTATCATGGGCTAATGCCCTTCATTGTATTCTGTGATGTGTATGTTATGTTGGTAGTGTGATGCTGTTCATGGGGAGAAAGGTCTATCAGCCCCTTGCTAGCAATATATCCTATCAAGTCGATCTCCACGTAACTACTATCCCTGGAGACCTTCGTGATTAATTCTTGTGTAATTCATCATAATGAGCTAACTGAACTGCTTTCATCCTCACCTATCTCTCAATAATGACCCGCTAGCGTATACCGATAGCACAGGTGAGGTTACCATTTCATTATCACCCATCAAACAAAAAAATATTATATATGTCTATAAGAGGTCACTTTCCACCACGTAAACCGTTTAGCTAATATGCCATTCGATGATAGGTTTCATAAAAAACTTTAAAAAATGCCTTACACAGCGAAACCGGTCAGGTATTAATTATAAAAATTTGTGAAAAAGCACTTAACAACTATTTCAATAAAATACTATAAAAATGTCCACTCATAACGTGGAGAACAAAGAAATTAAAAGTAGACGTGATTGGCTCAACACTGGACAACCGCCAAAATTATGTTGAAAGTGAAACAAACATACATACAATGTTATTCTATTGTGTCCAATATGCGATATTAAAATTAAGGAGTGTCGTCGCCTAGTGGTGTAATATCTCGACTTATATATCTTGAAAGTCGTGACTTTGAATCTGGCTTTCACTAAAAAACATTTCGAGTCTATTTCTATTTTCAAATTTTTAAGTACTTAAATGTTATGACTACTTTAGCCCATACTTCATGTACTAACACAGCCACGTAGACGCAGCTACTTGGCGGGAGATACAGGAATAGGACAGAGATAACCAAGTACATAAGGAAAAAAAGCGAATGTTAGTAATGCGTTTCTAGCAAACAGCCCCATTACTAGCAAAATACCCTATCAGGTCGACCTCTATCCGGATTCCCCTACAAACCATCTAGAATTCTTGTAGAATTCGTCCTGTGGACCAACTACCCTGTTTTCATCTCTCACTTGTGTCCCGCCATTTGTATAATGATAGGGGAAAACGGATTGTTAGTAACGGGGACTTTAATCTCCGTTGTTAGCAATATACCCTGTCAAGTCGACCTGCACACGGTTCCCCCTGGAAACCATCGTGTTCTTTAAATTATTGTCAAATTCGTCGCAATGGGCCGAGTGACCTGACTTCATCCTCACCTGTCATCCCTTACTCATGCTCCGCCAATGTATGCCGATAATACAGGCGGAGTTACCATTTCATTATCATACACAAAAAAAAAAAAACTGTATACCGATAGCGCAGGCGAGGTAGCCATTCCATTATCACCCATCAAAAAAACCAAACACATGACTATCCTACCTAGTTTTCTAGTCGAAGATATTTGTAACTGGTCAACAATATTGGCAACCACCAATACAGGTAAAACGTTAGCATCATTTGAAAAGAGTGATCTACCAGCGAAAGTAAACACGGATCGTAAAACAGCAAAACAATGTTGAACCACGGCACGTTCAATTACTGTGGGAAGCTCAAATTTTAATTTTTTTGTTTTTAAATATATGAAATCACGAAATTTCTGTTCTAATTATCATTTAGAATCTACTCGATTCTTAGTTTTAGGTTCTGTTAATGACTTTAATTTCACCCTGTATACAGATATTAACCTAGCAGAATTAAAAATAGTGGAATAGCACAATCTCACCTCTCTGGTAAACGCATCGGGCATTGTGAACGTCGACGTGATCCAGCAGAACGTGTTCACCACATTCACCGGGAGCCCGCTCACGATACACTGTATCGGCTGCCCGACATACTGTGTCGCCGTGATTATTATGGAGCATGTCAGCAGCAACACCGTCGTGAAGATGTTGTGCAGCCTGAAGACGGCATTGTCAGTCCTGATCGGCTGGTACTTGAAGTATACGCTAAGACCTCCCAAAAGCTTGAACATTTTGTATTGTTACAATATTTCATTCACACATCTTTTGGAATGGATTACTTAATAGCTAATTCAAATCAGTCTTGTTTTAATTGATATTCGAGTCTTCGGAATGTATTCGATTATTGTCTATGTTCGATTGGTACCTGGAACAAAAGAAAGACAACATGTAATTTTTTTATACCACGAAGGTGGTAGTTAAGCACATGTAGCCCTATTTGATGCTAAACAGTCACTGTAGCCTGTGGAGAGTTGCAACATTAGAGGTGTCATACCGTTAGCGATAATTAAATATTAATAATATATTTGTTAAATATTATAATACACAGCTTATATGTGCATACAGCTCTAGATATTTGTTTTTTAAAATATAATAATATAACATTTTGATACTATCTCAGTGAAAAATCATTTGGAAAAAAGAATCTACTTTTTAGTACTAATTTCTTACATATTCCATACAATGCAAGGAATTTGAGCGTTACATCTATGCATATATACAAAACGGAAGTTTGTCTGAACGCGCTAATATCTGGAATATCAAAAAAATTTGAAAAATCCTATTTGCGTTTCATAGCTCACTTCTTCAGGAAGATTACAGGCTATTCATCATCAGGATACGACCACGGTCAAAGCCACGGTATACAGCTAGTTTACTTCTAAATCATTCCTGAAACTGATCACTTTGGCATTGTCCTGAAGTCACCGAACAATTTAATGAAAGGAGTTAGTGGATGCAAGTGGTTCACGATCTTTCCTTTTACCAGTTTAGAGAGAAGCCCTATGTTCCTGAACAACTAAAATAATGCAAAGCAAATAAAAATTGTCTTTCAATGAATAGGTACGCAATGGTTTATTATGTAATTCCCAAAACAAATTAAACTAAACATCTGCCAAAATATTATTAAAACAAAGAGACAAATTTTGGAAACCATGTAAATATATTATATGAAACAAGACCATGTTTTCAAACATGCGTATTCAAGTTTCATGAGGTTTTAAAATTTTCAATAGCAGCGGCGTTTCAACAAATTTTTCATGAACAATACATACAAATGTAAATGTATTTCAGTATTGTTAGTTATAAAATTAAAATACCAAATTTGCATAGCAAAAGGTAAGATATAACTGCCGCAAAACGAGATGGGGTGGGCGTTATTAAAACTAAATACCTGGATGTCGAAACAGCAATACGTGACCTATTAGGAAGGCAGCGTATGTAGGTCAACTTTTTTTTATACAACTTAGAATGGCAAATAAGCTGACGGCCCACCTAATGGAAAATGGTAACCGTCGTCTATAGACATGCGCAGTACCATGGACATAACAGAGTATACTATTTCACCCATAATATTCCTGAGGATTCAGAAACCTGTTATTTCTCTGTACTTTGTAAATTCACGCAACATATTAATAGAAGGAGACTTTGTACCATATTTACCAGAGGGAGACTTTGCACAAAAGTCGACTGCTTGGGTACCTCTGTCCCATTAGTGTTTTTACCGTGAAGCAGTTATGTTTCCATGGCTGTGTTTCGGTTTGAAGGGTGGGATATGGCGTGAATTTACATGGTACAGAAGAATAACATCTGAGTCCTCAGGAATGGCAACGCATGGGGGGGTATCATGGGCGAAACAGTATACTCTGTTATGTCCATGGTACTGCTCATGTCTAAAGGCGACGGTTATCACTTTCCATCAGGTGGGTCGTCAGCTTGTTTGCCATTCTAAGTCGTATAAAATAAAAAAAAAAACCAGTAAAAACCGACTTAAATTGTAATAAAACCAGTTATTTTAATAAATAAACTAAATTACTTAAGCAATAAGTATATCCTTTCAAATAACAAAAGAATTTTCCAAATCCGTTTACAACTAAGTTGTATAAAAAAAACAGACGAAGTTATGAGGTAATAAATATCGATATTAAATAAATGAATGTATAACAAAACTCAACAAATAAACTATTCAGGCAGTTTCCACGGAAACGAAGATATGTATACAATAAAAATACATAATCAAATGAAGTAATATCAATAAATGTGACATGACAATATTATTCTCGATAAAGTTTATATCGATGTTTCTATGAATAATTTACTTTATAGTTTTGTACCATATCATATAGACAATTTCTTTACATATTTTATGTAAAGAAAGAAAAAAGAAAGTGTACTATACACGTTTAATAAAAAAAAGTGAAAATATTAAATGCATATATAGTATCATCATCATCATCATCATATAGATAAACTTTTTATTTGAGCCATAATGTATGACACACGTAAATTTACAAATGAGTTTATACAATCAAATTATTTACTTATTAAAATATACAACAAAAGATAAAATATAAAAATATGGTTTCGCCATATGTGTGGCAGTGACCCAAATAGGCTACAGCTCAGTGATGGTTTTGCTTAAAAGCAAAGCACTGATTATCAACTGCAGCCTGAAGTTAGGCTACACGGACGCGTACAACAAACCAAGAGTGTGACCTGTGTAACCAATTTAACAGCCTAAGATAAAATTGTATTATATAGATACATACTTATATAAATGATGCATAAATATTTTTATGCATCATTTATATAAGTATATACAAATTTATTAATTAAATAAACACAATAAATCATATCAGCCATTATCTGTTCATTGGTAAACATGAGCCTCCCCTATAGACTATTTATTATAAGGAACGATCCTAAACAACCTCCATCCGCTAACATCCGGCATTGCATTTGAGGCCGTGGCTCCATCTAGTGGAGGGTCGTCCTACATTGCGTTTGCTCGTACGGGATCGAAACTCACTTTTTTTTCTTCTTTCTTATATATAATACTACTAATATAAGTATACTCTACTGAAGGGAATGCAGATAATTTGACAGCATCTTATACAGAGCGAAATCGTTAGAGGTACTTAAAAAATTCAATTTCCCATACATACTAACTCAACAGCTGAACGCGCCGTGTAACGCAAGTATGTATATACGTACGTACATATGTATGACGTACGTATGTATGTACAGGAGGTTTATAAATTTTTGTCGTTTTTCAACCCATGTCTCTTTAGTGCAAATATTTTGTTTCACTAATAAAACACTGTCTTCGATAGACTTCGATTACACCCTGTATACTGAATACTATAAGGCAAGCAGTAAAGAAGTATCGATAGATACGTTTCCGGTGCCTTATATATAAGAAAAAATAACATCTTATGAAAATAATACAAAAGTGCATTACCATAATTATTCGCACATTCAACTCCACTGCAGATGTGCAAATATTCGTGGTATTATTGGATATTAATTATTATCGAGCCATAGAGGGCAACGACCTCTTATCTAAAGCACCATGAACAATGGATTGAAATGGTCGTTATGTAAGTCACATCTGAGCCACTAAATTACGCTGGTGACAATAAATTATAATTACGATTTACAAAACTATTGAGGTCATATGTACTGTATTGACAAAAAAGAAAGCGACAGTTCCAGGTTGAGCTAAAATATATAACTACTAACTTTTACCCGCGACTTGGTCCACGTGAACGAGATATGTTCATCATAAAAAGTATTATGATAATAATATATATCCTTTTGGGGGAAAAGGGATTGTTAGTAATGGAGACTGAGAATCCCAATGCTAGCAATATACCCAACCAGGTCGACCTCCTCGCGGTTCCCCCTGGAAACTACCATGGTTAATTCCTGATAAATTCATCATGATGGGCTAACTGGCCTGTTTTCATTCTCATCGATCACCCTTCACTGGTGCTCCGCCAGCGTATCCCGTTTGCGCAGGCGGAGTTAACCATATCATTTTCACCCATAAAAAAAAAAATATTCCGCATGCGTTGCTATTCCTGAGGACTCAGGTGTTATTCCTCTGTACCGTGTAAATTCACTGTCATATCCCACCCTTCAAACCGAAACACAACCATGCAAACACAACTGCTTCACGGTAGAAACATAAATAGGACAGAAGTGCTCAAGCAAACGAATTTTGTACAAAGTCTCCCTCTTATATTGTATTAATTATATGAGAATTAAAAGATTTTTATATATATCTAACTAAAATATAACACAGTATAAATACATACCAACCAACGATCGGTCTTATCTTACCTACCTTTGACCTATAAACTTGTGGCAACAAAATACTAGAGTAAACGAGTAAACTGCAAACAAGTCGACTTAGTACAATCGCTCCAGCTGTGTCGATAATGGCTCCCGTAACGCTAATAGACGTGACACGATAATGAAGTATTTGTCACCATATTTGTAAATATCTAAACGCCCCTTTAAATACCAGAGAAGTCGTCCATTAACACTGGAAAGTGTCACCAGAAGCTGAACGACCGTAATGTAATCGTGAATGCACGTTTAGCCACACTTTCTAAATTGAACCACTAGTTTTGTAACTGATTCCGATCAAAAAACGATAGCAAATTGTTAATAAAGGTTTTTTTTTACAACTTAGAATGGCAAACAAGCTGACGGCCCACCTGATGAAAAGTGGTAACCGTCACCAACAGACATGAGCAGTACCATGGACATAAAAGAGTATACTGTTTCGCCCATGATACTCCCCATGCGTTGCCATTCCTGAGGACTCGGGTATTATTCCTCTGTACCCAGTAAATTCACGCCATATCCCAAACCGAAACACACCCATGCAAACACAACTGCTTTACGGTTGAAACACGAATGGGACAGAGGTACCCAAGCAATCGACCTCCTCTACCCAAAAGATGTTTGGAAGAGATTTCTTTTGCAATAAGACCGCCTTTTGTACTCCATCAGTGTAATACATATTTATCTTTGTATTATTCTTTAAATGTTGCAATACAGAATAAATAAATAAATAGCTAATAATTAAAAGAATTAATTAAAATCAATATTATATAAGTGACAATTATATAATTAAAATAGTGCTGCAAGCAATTATTTACAATAAAAAAAGTTGTCGATTTATTACTTTGTTATCGAAATAGAACCTTGAATGATGTAAGATTGCGAATAGGCAATTAATTTATAATATAAGAAAATTTCTTTATAACATTTCATTGGCATGAATAGGCCACCCCTTCCCTTCCCGTGGGCGTCGCAAAAGGCGACTAAGGGAACTTAATTGTCGAGGATTGGGCA